GTGCTTAATCCACACTGTTATTGAATTAGTTACTATCATTTTCATTCAATTATAATTATTAATCGTACTTTGAGGATATTGGGGAGGGTAAGATACGTCCTCCAAGTCCCTTTACCACCGATATTCGCTTGCACCCCTCTGTTGTCCACCAATATTCCCAGTAGATTTTTTGCAAAAATTCCAGAACCGGCTGTCAAAGAATCCCCTATTGCCGCAATCACATCTATGTCACCTGGTCTTAAACGATGGACCGAATTCGGAATTTTAGAAGATCTACCGCCTAAAGAAAATCAATCAAAATATTAGACATATAATTTTTGACTGTGGTCAAAACAGTATATTCTAAAACAGAATTGATCGTATGTAATGCAGTTTTATACATTTATTTAAAATTTGTGTACAAAAGTTTACAATATCAAACTTTTTGGAGCAAAGGATTTAATTTAAATTGGACAATGAATATATAAGACTAATTTTTCACGAGTATTTCGATGATAATTGAATTTGTTTAAGTACCTGTTACGTTGCAAGGGAATGGAACGTCCAATTGAATTTTTCTTTGATAACTCGTTGCAATTCGTTCCTCATTTTCTGTAAGACAAGTATTAATTCTAGTATTTTTCGATCACTGTTTCCGAAGAAAATATCATTTTAATTCAAGAAAATATTAAATTCGAATTTAAAATACTATTTCAGACTGATAAAATTCAAATTATTTGCTATGAACTCCCTTCAATTGATGTATTATATTCAAACAAATATATTTCTTACTTATTTTTTTTTTATATATTCAACACTGCTTAAAATTACTATAATCCATCAACGTCTCGACAAAATTCTACTTCTTTTTTTTTTAACGAAAATATCTCGTAATACTCTTTCATACTCTTTTCATAACGTAAATTCCATCTCCGCTAACTTGTTTAAAAAAGAAAAGAAAAGAATCGTCTCAGAATCAGAATTCATCCTTTCCGTTATCAGGAAACACAGGAAACACTTTGAACAAAATAATAAACCGAGCACATACCGAAAATTTGAATTAGATAATTACGAATTGCACGCAATTTGAAGAGATTGAACGGCGAATCTAGGAAGGTCCTCTGACACGCGGCCAGCACGCATAATTGCGAGAAAATGCACAAACCAACTTGGAAATTGACCATCACTCGTGTTATCACTTCGTTAATTAAATTTTCACATTGATGCTCTAATCGATGAGTTAAATTTTTTTTTTTTTTTTTTCTTCCCCGTTCAGTTATTTGCTCTGTAGCGTTACCGAGTGTGCCTGAAATTGCATCACTCGCCTCCCTTTTAAGCTTTACCACCATCCCGAACAGAAAATGTATGAGTGTAAATACAAATGCGAATGCGTATCTTCTCCAACGACCTTGATCGTGAACGTAGATTGTTTTTTCAATGAGATTCAACAGGCCGCCACAAGGAGATTGATCCCTCGAATTTGATGCGGATATAGGAAAAAACAGGATGTATATACGCGTTACATAAAATAATTTTTAAGCATTAGCAAATATTAATAGATATATATAAGGAAGAGACTTGGAGTACAGTTAAGATAGATTATTTCTATATTCATCGATGATAATTTTGATTGACGTGTATATAATATCATGTTGTATGTTGTTTCAATTTTAAGCAGAAAGATAGAAAAGATTAGGTAGTAATTGAACGATAAATTTGATGAATTCAAAATGTGATTTGAGATTATTTGAAAAGCTTACAGTTTCATTCATATGGTAATTGAATGATGTGATAGAATTATTGTTGACACATCAGATGATATCGATTTTGAATTACATAATTTTAAAGAATACTTGCTATTGATTAATTAACTAAGAATTAAACACTCATCATCATTCTATTTACGTTTCCTTTATCCATTTTTGATACAAATACAATAACTTCTAACAAAATTACGATTGAAATATTTGTCATATCTGAAATATAATTCTTCTCTGAATTTTTTGCTAAGAAAATGAATAATTGTTTATTCCACATATTCCGTATAGTTTAGAGTTGTATAACGATCGATTTCATAAAAAAAAAAAAATAGATTTACTCATCATCGATAGAAAAAAATTTATCAAATTTTATTTCACTAATTTTCAAAACACTTATTAAACCCTTTGCAACCGCTAAGGCGACATTGTTGGATAAGCAAATATCTCTGTTGTCGCTGCAGCAGCGACAACGTTAGATATCCTATAACTCGTTTGCGCAGCCAAATCTAAAAGCAACCTTGTATTTTTATAATTGTAAAATTTTCTTCACTTTTTTGTGACGCATCAACAAAGTTATGTATAAGTTAAAATTATTATTCAAAAAGTAATTTTTATTTTCTGTAATGTTATATTTTTTTTATATTGTATTGCTTTAATAGAACAAAATTTTAAAAAGTACACGTGTTTCGTTTTTACGACAAAGCAAGATTTTCAATTTATCATAGAGGCGTGTTCACGCCAATGTAAATAGTCTTCGAATAGCTGATTGTTATAGTAAAAATCACTCGGAGTTGTTGGCAAGTCATATTAAAAATTGCTTGCAATGCAATTAATATTAATTCATATACATCTATCCAAATATGATTATCAAAGATATGATTAATTAAAGAAAACCTAAAAAAAAAAAAAGAAAAGAAAATATTTCGAAACAAAGTTAAAATATTTCTAAATAAATAATTATTTTCTGTAATAAAATTATTTATAAATCCTTTTTCATACAAATTATTCGTATTTTGTGCCTACCATTGATTCAACGAATAAACAAACCAAAAATTACATTCGGGAACAGTTGTAATTGACGACGTTTTCAAATAATTTTCTGTCTGCTCGATCCGATCTTTTTTTATTTTATATGACGAAGAAATCGAAGAACGTGACAAAGAGGCTGACATTCTTAGAAAGGTACCACGTACAACCAGGAAGTTCATGATATGAATAAATAAATAATAAATCGCATCTACCGGTATTCAAATGATTCGATGATCATCACTCGGAAATCTTTCGTACAGATTACATGATGTACCGCATTTTTCTAATTAAAAAAAAAAAAGAAAGATATTGTAATTGTACGTATTTATTTGTAATTATTATTATATTTATTTTATTTATTTCGTATCACTTTTGATTTGAACATTTTACAGAAGATTTATTTATTATATTTATTGTATTTATGATTCATTAGAAAAGTAATAATAATATTTTTTTTTCTATAAAAGAAAATTTATGGTATATGTTAAAGAATTGTAGATGTTAAAGAATACAGAAGATTTATTAATCATGAATAATTGAAGTGGAAAATAAATTTATCTGGTTCTTTCCAGTTAAAATTAGATATTGGAGGGGAAAAATTAGATATTGGGTAATACGAAACCGGTATCGATTATATTGCTTGATTAATATTTGCTCAATCACTTATTAATATGCTTGCTTAAGGAATGCTGAAATACTATTCTAAAACTATAAAAATAAGACAGACTTGTAATAATTATTATAACATCGTACAATTTTTTAATAAATTAGTGTGACATATATTTTAGCATGTGTTATTGATATTGTGTTATTTAATATATATTCTAATTTTTATAATATTTTGCTTCGTAGAAAGATTGATAAATTTCTAACGATTGATTTTAAATTGATTTATAAAAATATACTACATGAATCAAATATATAAGAAATATATTTATATATAATATAATATATTAATTCAATTTTCAATTACGCTTTTATTATTTTTATTAAATATAATTCTCTGTGAAGACAATTGAAATGAAAATGTGCTTTATATTGTAAATTGAAATGGCACACACGATTTCCGTGAGTAATTTCTCAAATTATGCTGAATTATGCACAAAGAATACGAAATATTCGCGAATTACGTGCATGGTATATACTTTAATCTAAACAATTTGAACAAAGAACTTAAAAAAAAAACTTTCCGATGACTGATGCTCGAAACAACATAAATATTATGAAGCGTGGATATTTATTTCGAGTATAAAAATAAAAAAAATAAAAAAGTAATGATATCAAAATTTTTATTATTAATGAATTATTTTAAACGATATATCGAATAAAATTAGAAAAATTGACGAATAATTTATAAATATGAAAACGAAAAATTAAAATATTATAAAAAGAGGTTAAATAAATGAATTAAATAAATCGAATTTTTTTTACAATGATCCTATAATAATCTAAGATTTTCTTTTTTAAAATTTATAAAGAATAATTATATACTTCATTGTACTTAGCATTAAAATACTTACTCAAAATTTGTTTTATGATTAGATGAAAAATAGATTTCAAGGTATATAACATTTTCAGATAGAATGTGTGTAATCATTAAAAAAAAAAATAATGCAAAAAAACAATATGATATAAAAAAAGTATTGATTTTATTGAAATATAAATAAATATTTTGTACTGATACAAAAAAGATTGGTTCAATAACCAATATAATATTCAAACGTTGTACTAAATTTCAATATTTTTAGTTATTTTAATTGGATGGATTTGTAAACGTAATTCAAATTTTAATCAATGTCAAATTATATTCCGCGAGTTTTCACGTGTCATCAGGTATGGTCTCTCCGAAGTAGGACATAAGAATGTTTTAAGAATTTTTGGATACGATATCTGGTCTGACTTGTTACCAATTGGTTCCAACAGATTGTTCCATATATGATTCGCCACTTACATGAAAAATATTAGAACATTATCTCGCAGAATGTTAATGAAAAAATCATTATATTAATCCATCAATTGTTACACTTACCTATCGCGTGACATTTTTGGTTCAAATGAAAACAATCGATAGAAAAGTACGACAAATCGGTGAATCCATCTTCAGCGAGCGGAAATTTTATATTTTTCAAAATTGGAAGAGTTATTACGGTAAAGTTATTTGTATGAAACTCTGGATAATTAACGATTTCTTCCTCCAATTCTTGCCACCTAAAAATTGAAATAAAACAGAAGCAATAAAATAAAGTAAAATAAATAAAGTAAAATAAAGTAAAATAAAACAACGCATAAAATAAAGTAGATTATACATTACATCTTATAATTAGAATCGATACTAATCAAACTGTGGTAAAAAAATTGTAGGAATACGAAGTAACAAGGAAATAAAAGAAATTTATTCATTTCATTTTGATTAATTTTGACTCGACCCATAATTTTTCACAATAAAGTTTTATTAATCGAAATTAAACGTAGAAATTTGTATTATATAATCGTTCTTTTCAGTTAAAAACATTTTTTCGTATTGCAAGTTATATTGCAAGAAATATGTGAAATTTTTAAGTTTTTTTTTGTTTTTTTAAATACAGTATCTTATATCGTTTGTAAGAAATCTAGAAATATTTTAATTTATCTACTCTAACCGGAATAATAAAATTTCACTTTTCTTTTACGTCTTGAAATCTTGGATTATTTCAATTAAATATTATACAAACTTGTCTATTATTTCGTAATATTCCTGTCTTCGTTCTTTGTATTGTACAGCTAGCAAACATGGACATTCTATAGTACTTATCAAATAGCATCTCCACGAAAATCTTCCTCTACGTGCTCTGACTATTTCTTTTATGTGAGGTGGTATTATAACAGCGACAAAACTCCTTGGTAAATTATCTCTTAATATTCGAAGAGTATTAATTAGATCTTCTTTGTGATTTTTCAAAATGGTAGACGGAGAAGGATTGCTACACATGGCGCAAAAATCATTAGGCCCGATCAATAGTGAAATAAACTGCGAGAAAATATGGAAAGAGATATTAGATATTTGCAATTTATTAACACTTTATTAAAATAACAATTTTTGTCAAATTTGATTTTAATTTTAAAAATAATTTTATCTAAATTCTAAAATACTTAAATGTATTTTGTGCGAAATACGAACCTTCCAATGATTCTTTATATCTATTCTCGGATCCTTCTTCATTCTATTAACTAAAAATTTAGCCATGTAAGGCATATCCATAGAAAGTGCACCACCTTCACCCACATTCAATTGCGAAGCTGGATGGGAGGTCAAAGAATCTCCAAAGGCGTACCCTATTAAATTGTGGTTAAACTCCTGTGCATAAAAATATTTATCAGTCGAAAAAAGTGTTTTACACACGCTAAAGATGATCGTGATTTTTTTCAAAATTTAGCCTTCTAATATTATTCTACGCAAAATAATATCTAAGAATAAATCTTAAAATTCTTAAATGAATTTCGTTATTTCATGCACAAGAATTTTAGCACAAAAATTTCTCTGATCCAAAGAATTTTTTTCTCGAACATTCTGAATATTGATCAAATATATATTTGCGACGATAAATAATTTCGTTCAAATAACGTTATTTCTATAAAAGAGAAACAATTCTAGCTCGTCTCTCATTTAGAAATTTACGATCGTTGAACATACTTTGAAGATATTAGGGAGCGTCAAAACCTTTCTCCATGTTTCTTCACCACCGATAGTCGCCACCATACCCCTGTTTTCAATACCTAACTGCATCATATTAGTCGCAAGTAAGCCAGCTCCTGTTGTTAAAGAATCGCCCATCGCGGCAATAACGTCAATATCACCTGGTCTCAATCGATTTACCGAATCAGGAACAGTGGGAGATCTGCCTCCTACAGATATTAAATTATCAAATTACGAAACGATTATTAAATTTTACGATTAGTATTATGAACTTATGTATAAATATAATTTTAACAATAATAGATGGTAATAGTTGTACAACTGCACGAGTTATAAGTGGTATAAATGAGTATTATTCGTTCGTTTCCTATGAAATATCAGAAATAAACGAAAAATGATGTATATTTAAATCTTTGTCTTCTTTCGATACACTTTTCTAAAATACTTTTTTTTGGTAAGATATAAAATAATTTGAAATTTTGACCGAATCATATTTGAATTTATTATGTATTTCATAAATACTCGTTGATTTTTGTGCAGTTATTCAACTTTTATTATTGATTGAAAATTTGTTTAATTACCTGTCACGTTGCAAGGAAATGGAACATTTATTGGAAATTCTTTCTGAATTATTCCCGCCTTTTGTGCATCTAGTCTCTCTCCTTTTTCTTTTACGCAAAAAGAACAATTATTGAATACTTGTAGAACTTTTTGCATTTATATCAAAGTATGAAAATATATTCCATTTTTTTTTTATTTTTCCATTCATTTTTTAGATTTTTAGACTTTATCGATAATATTCTGCAAATTCAATTCTTCAGGAAAAGTTTCATTAATATTTTCTCGAAAAAGATTTATTGATATTTTTATTTGTATTATTATATACATATGTACTTATATCTATAATATTATTCACAAATATTATTTTTTAGAATATTACTAAATACTCAGATATATGATTTTTAATTGCTAATGTTCCAACAATGAAAAATATGTTATGAAAAAATAGTGATTTTAAATCTTTTGCGAAAGAATGATTTTATGTGTAATCTTTAATAATCTTCAATCAATCTTAACTTATTATTATTAATAATTTAGTAATTTTTTTTATAAGAAATAAGAATTTATATTGTTTTTTTAAAATATAATATCCATTTAAAAAATTAATAACGTAATTAATAAATTATATAGCTTCGAACATCATGATAGTTTTATGTGAAATGTTTCGACTTGTTATATTATTTACATAAAATAGAAAGAATAAAATGAAAAAAAGATTGGCAATGATCTTAATGATCTTGAAAGAGATGAAAAAATTAAGAGAATAAATGTGTATTAATATATCTTTAGTAAAAAAGATTGTGTAATTTGACATAAATTCTATTTTTCCGAGTTAATTATTCAAAAAAATAATTTTTTTTTTCATTTTTCTTTTAAGTTATTTATACATGCACATTTTTAATCATTTCTTTTCTGTTATTTGTATGTTGTAATATTATGTATACATGAAAAAAAAAATCTCATTTTAATTCTTAAATATTTCATATTTTAATAAAATCATATTTTAATAAAATCTTTTTATGCTTTTCCAATTAGGGTCCAATTATCATATAATATTGCTGTTTTCCTATGTTTACACGTACAAAGTTTTTTTCGAGAGATAATAATAAAGTTTTATTTTATACGAGAGATAAGTAGAGATAGTAAAGTTGATAATATTAATAGAAAATTATTATTATATTAATTGAAAATTTATTTCAGCAAGACGAAATATAAAATATTATTCATATACAAAATAGGAGAAAGTGGGATCTAACTCGTTTTTTAGATTGACAAAAGATCAGAGAATGAAAAGAATACCGAACGATGCTGGAATCTTTAAACGGATCTTGCACAATTATAAAGTGAGAATTTTTGTTTTTATCATTTAACTATTAAAAATAAGATAAATAACGAGTTGAAACTGACTGAAGTATCAGATTTGCCTTCAAGTAAAAGATTTCACTTTTTAATACATATTCCACTATTTGTAAGAACATACAAAGTCCATGTTCACTAGAACAAGATATAGAAAACTCGGCTCAGCTTGAATTCACAAAAAAACTTGAAACATACATATATATATATATATAATTATTGGATAATATACTTGAAAAATATTTCATTTATAGAAATTATATTATTACCGATTTTCTGAAATAATTAAACATTGTTTACGAAGTGACAAATATCTTTGATCTTTGAAATAATAAAGTATTAATGCTATATGTTTCAGAATGAAAATAAAAGTTACGTACAATTAATATTAGAATATTCGAAGAATATAACAATAATAGTAATAACTACAATTAAATATATTAATTTCAGAATAGATTGCAACCTTTACGTTACATGTATATAATATCCGCCTACCATCCGCCATTTTTCTTGAAATAAAATTCACAACTTATTAATTTTTATACGTTACGTGATATATTCGATTCCCATAAACAAGTTTAAAATTTTATTATAAAATATCAGAAGTTGAATTTAAAAAATCAAAAATCTCGTTCATTATAATAACAGTGAAGCTATCAACGCTTTATTTAATATAAAACTTAATATCATCTATGAATATTTTGTTCCCATCAACTTTAACAAATATCACACCCCCTAATTATTATTAATTATTATAAATTCTCAACATCTCGCAAGAATTCCACTGTTTCCAATGTAAACATACACATACACACACGCACAAATAAATAATTTCTCACATTCTCACAAAATCATCAAAATTATGAAAAAGCATATATCATTGCAAGAAACGAATAAAATCAACTGAATACATACCAAAATTTTTCAATATCCAAGTACGCATCAAACGGAATAATATCAAATTGTCTGGTGTGTCTAAGAAAGTTTTATTCATTGTTGCTGTTATCACGCATACTTGCAACAGAAGGCACATATGTAACTTGATCATATCGCGAACGATCAATTCGACGAACGAGAATCTTCGAGATTAATGTTTCGTGACTAACTTCTTTATACCTTTGAAGTTACTGTTACTGATCAGTTCTCAAGTTCTCAAATGATACGTTTTCCCTTTCGAAGTTTGTCCCGACCTGAAGTGGGAGAATTACAACATAAGAAACAAAAATTGTCTACGTTTGCCGCTATTTAAGTGTTACAGAATATCTTGACTGTGTATCTGAAATGTGTACAATGGTCTTTACGAAGGTTGATAATAGAGGCGCGTGATTGATGAAGCGTGTGAAGCTGTTACGTTACGCGAGTTTGGTTAAACTGTGAAATAATGCGTACAAACAAGGTTTATATATATGTTAGTATAAGATTGCATAATGAGACATCTATATTTATTTTAAAGATGAACAGTTGTTTTTTTGTTCCTTCGTTACGAGGATTATAAGTTTTTGTCACAAGTTTGTCGTTATGTACGTTAGGTTAAGATTATATTATTGGCACGTATAATTTCAATATTGTACGTGTCGATATGTCTGAATTGTCTTTGATAATTTATAGAATTTAGATGTAAAATATTTTTTAACGAATATTTCATTGACATGTTTTACAAATATTTTCAATATATATTTATTTATTTACACCTTGTAACTATAATCTGTTAAATGATAGTCTATTTATTAGACAGTCCATTTTATTTGACAATAGAATGCAACGTGTTTAATATACAATTCATTTGTGTAACAATCAAAATTATATAGTTATAGGTTTAATACCATGATGATGATATAATGTACGGTTCTTGCGTATTTAAGAACACATTTGATTAAATTTTTTAAAAAATATTCATAATTATTCAATTATTTTACCGTAATTATATATATTTTACACCGATTTAATTACAGATATTTATGTAAGTGTGTTACGCCATACATATAACGTAACTAACGTATGCGGAAGATATGCAAAATAAATACAATAAATAAGTACATGTAAATAGGTAAGTAGTTATATATCATAATTTATAGTATTTATAATTTAATAATAATTAGCATTTATTAATGTCGAATAAAGTATATAAAGGACGAAATTACAGGGATAAGTTAAATTGTAAAAATAAAAGGTTTCGTTTTCATCGGCACTGGATTAACTACTCATCCGGTAGAAAAACAAAGAGTAAATTAATCACAAATTACAATGAGATATATTTCGGAATAGAATATAATTTACACGACTCCACGGACGCAATATCAAATTCGTGTATCATTGTGGACGAGATATTCCGCGACGTGGAGGATGAACTTGTACGATATTGAAATGTTTCGCGGCATAATATATATTTTATAAAATTTCATGGATGAAATATATCCACGACACCATACAGTTTATACGACACCATGGACGAGAAATTTCGTGATATAATATATTTCATAACACGCCACGGACGAGATATTCCGCAACACAATATAATTTATACGACATGAACAAGGTATCTCGCAACATTTTTATTACATTAAAATTACATTAAAATTACACATCGTTGCTTGTTCATTCATTTTTTATATATATATATATATATATATATATATTATATTTTATATTTTATAAAAAGGAAAAAAAAATATATCTCTAATATATCTAACCGATTATACGTGTATTCAAAGTGTTATTATTATCGATGATCACTTTTATGATTTTTATAAGAATTTTTTATATTGCTTTCTATTTTGAGAGTTTTTTCGAAAAAAAAAAAAAGATTATGCCAAATAAAAAGAGACTATTAAAGAAGAATAGGAGATATATGTGTGGAATTTGAATAAAAATAAAGTATATGTGAAGGTTAATTGTATCAATTGAACAATTATATTATAATTTGTAAGTTTATTGTTCAATATTATAAATTTTTGTGAAAGAAATATTAATTTTGGGGAAGATATAGGTATATCATTTGATAATACCTATAAAAAAAATAGGATCAATAACAAAAATAATTATTATAAAACTATGTACTAGATTTTAACAAAAATAAATTAATATTTTAATTAAATAGCTATATATGATTTTTAATCACAAATTTTGCTATTTGATTTTCATTTTTCTCTTCTTATATACGATTTGTTTGAGATAGGATATAAGAATTAAAAAATTTCAATTTTTGTGTGTGCATTGTATTGTTTCCAGTTTTTGCAACAGATTGTTCTAAATATAATCCGTATATTTTGTATAAAATATTTTTAATTGAATGCTAATATAAAAATCATTAAATTAGATAAGGATTTAAGTAGTATATAGTATTTCTTAAATAGAATTCTGAAAACCGTAATTGTGATAATTTTTTTTATTTAGTTTATATGACAATATATGTATAAATATCAATATATCCATAGAAAATGTTACAGCAACATTTTAATTGTTACGCAGAAAGTATACAGGTTTATGTACATCAATCAGTTACAATTATTAGATTTAAAAATACGCATTATTTAATATCTATTTTACATATGTATAGATTTACAATAATAGCTTACTCAAATAACGTAATTGAAAAGAAGAAAAAAAAAGAAAAAAATTGTAGGGAACACAATAACGGCAGTGTACGAAAGATTGTTGTAATTCTTATTAAAACTTTAAGAGAATAATATACATGTATGAAAATGTAAGTGATTCGCAAAACATTATAATTACATTGAATATTTCTTCCATTTTATTATTTTTATTAATTATTAACTAATAGTTTAATGGCTTAAATGTCTTTATTGAACTTTATATTACATTAATAAAGATATTTGATTAGATTACACTAATATTTGATTATATTTAGTAAGAAATCAATATTTTGCTTATTATATTTTTATTTATACTATTTTAGTTTAATTAATATATATATTTAATAAATTCTTTTTAGATTACTTTTACGTTATACATAAAATTATTGCAAAATTAATAAAACTTTAAGTATTAAGAAGAAACATTATATAATGCAATATAATATGATATAAATTTAGGAATAAAAATATATCAAGATTTAATTTGAATAATTGTTCTCTAAAGTATCATATTTTTTTTACTAATAAAATCAAAATTTAAATTTAAATTCAAATTTATATGTCTATAAAAATGATGAACTTCCTGTTAGCAGTTCTTAATTTATACATTTGCAATAATTTTTCATTATATAATAATGATTTTATAAAGAATAATTTATAGATAAAAATAACTATTATAATAACTATTTATAACTTTCATCTTTATACATGGTTATTATACACTGTATTGTTTAAAAGATCAATTTTTAAACAATAATATGAAATATGAATTAATATAATATATTGTAAATATTTTTTAAGCATATTTCTTATAGATAAATATTTTAAATATGATTTACTGGAATAAATTTATAGAAAAATTTATTTAAGCAAATATTATTACGTAAAAATTTCATATGTTTAAATATTCCATCTAAATATAATAAAACTTTTAGTGAAATTTTTATATGTATATTTTTTAAATATTTATTCATATATTCATATAATATTGTAATAAAAAATGTAATTATTTTATATATTTTCAAAATATTTCACAAAATTACGAGTAATAATACGAAGAGAAATAAATATATATTATTATATGTACATGTAGAATTATTTTTTAATAAAAATTACATGAAATTTTTTTTTCTATAAAATTTTGAAGAATATCACATCAATTTACAAATGAATCTTTGATTAAACATTTGGCACGCTAATTTATTTATATAATGAGGATAATTTATTTCTATATTTTAAAAAAAAATTTTGTCATAGCCGACATTGCAATAATTTTACGTTCTATAATAATATAATCTCTTGCACATTAATTATATTGGTCAAGCGATTAATTATTTTCTTACCTTTAAATACATTACAATATTTACATGATGTTTTATAAACATTCTTTTTTTCTTTCCTTCGCAAGGCAATGATTGTGAATAAAAAAACTGAAATAATTAAAAGTAAATTAATTATTTTGAGCTTAAAAAGAAGCTTAATTAATTAAAATAATATATTATGCATAAAAACAGAAAAATCTTCAATATTTTGATCGAATTATTAAAAAAAAAAAAAAGATAAATAATAAGTAAATAAACGTAAAAAAGGGAACAATATAATTTATTAAAATAAAAATTGAAAATATAAAATGTAAAATATAAAACATATGTAACATCTTATTATTTCTTAATTAAGGAAATATTGTACATGATATATAACTGCAATATAATATGCAATTGTTAAAGTTAAAATCTAATTATTTTGCATTCGAAGTAAAGAATACTTCAATCGTTCAATGTGTTCAATTTATTCAAATATATACTTTCTTTTCTTACATCGAATTTAGTTTAAGACGAAATATTGCATTGAATAGAGTATATTAGGAAATATTATCTGGATATTTCTAAATCTGCATTCAGCACAACTTTTATTACTATTATTGCTAATTTTGATATAATTTAATTTCTAATCTAACGACTTATCAAATAATTTATCTATTAAAACGAAAAATCAATTATCTCTTTCAGCAGATACAGATTAATTTAACGAAAATTATATTTATTTTTTTTTTTTTTTGAAACATCTATCTATCAATAATGATCACGGTCAATGATCACGTAATTTTTTCTGTGTAAATTATTTCATAAGAAACATATATTCTACTATTTTTAAGACTGTAATCACATTTTGATTTATATATATACTTCTGCATTTTAAAAGAGAGCGAGATATTGCTTTTTGCTTACAAATCGATTTGTATTTTGTGACGCTACATTAGAAAAAGAATATAAAATAATAAAGAAGAAACACAAACCAAAAAAATATTGAATTTATTAAATCTTGAATATTTTAATCCTTTAACGATTATATTCGTGCTAACAAAATTTCGATTAAAATTTATGTGAAATGAAATAATTTTATTCTTAAGGCATTAAAATAATTTTTTAAATAAATGATTTTTAAGTTCAATACAGACAGATTTTTATCGTTACGATACTT